GTTAATGTATAACGATTATTCGGCATTTTGTTTTACCAGCTTGACCTTGAACAGCTCTTAGTTTCGAAGCGAATCAGAGATTCCGTTGCGTAATGCCGTATACGTAGCAAGGAAAACCCGTTTTAGAGCTCAGAATGTTTGAAGAAAAAGTGAGGCCAAAATTCATGGTAGCACGCGGTGTTACCACAACCGGAGTCCTTCAATGAACGGTATTAAAGGACTCTGCCACAACGTTGAAGCAACTTTCTCAATGTCGCGGCAACGTTGTGTCGACATTTGGGCCTACTGGGAATATACGTCAGAGCTAAACACTTGCCACCAAGTTTATAGCTCGGAAGGTTGGACTACACACGCAGTGAGGGGTGGGGGTTAGGGATCAAAAACAGAATGGGAATGTACATGTGCAAAATGCAAAAGCGCTGATAAATATATGTCGTATAGCTGTGATGGTAGTATAGAGACACTGATTGCAATAATGACAACATATTCAATGGAATAGTTAAAGTACATACTTAGTAACCTGAATATATTTTTTTTTCTAAGCGAATGAAAGTCTAAGTATCATATCAATATCCGGCAGCTCTGCACGTGCGACGTGAGAGGCTCGTAATAACGTTTCGTATGGTTACTCTTGGCACTTACACGTGGGTAAAGTGTGACACCGGAAATCGATTTGGAAACAGTTACCGTCGCTCGCAGTTGAGCGGTGGCTAAAATGTACGTCAGACCGTATTTGATGAGAGCTTCGGAAATTTCGACAAGTTCAGGTCCTTTAACGTCCTCCTATATCAAAGTACGAAGACCTGTCGCACTTCTCTTTTATCGAAATGCGACCGCCGTGGCGGGGATCAAACCGATCACTTTCAGGCCGAGGCGAATTGATCGGACGCACGTTTGAACATGTGTACATGCATCGATGACATACTTTGTTGTCGTTGTTGTGGTGTGGATGTTGTGGTGTGGATGTTGTGGTGTGGATGTTGTGGTGTGGATGTTGTGGTGTGGATGTTGTGGTGTGGATGTTGTGGATGTTGTGGATGTTGTTGTTGTTGTTGTTGTTGTTGTTGTTGTTGTTGTTGTTGTTGTTGTTGGAAACTACAGGACGCTTTGGGCCATGGAGGAAGAAGACGTATTGTCAGTCTCCTCACCCTCCACGGCTGAATCGTATATATTTGTTAAAGCATCTGTTTTAGGAAGACCCCTTTGTGGTGGTGTAGCGGTTACGGTTCTCAGCTGCTGACCCAAAGGTCATGGGTTCGATTCCAGCCGCGGTGGTCACATTCACACGCAGGTGAAATGCTAGACGGTCGTGTATACTGCGCGTTGTCAGGACGCGTTAGAGAACGCCAGATGGTCAAGATTTATATAGTCCTCAACTATGGCGTCTCTCGCGATGACTTCAGATGTTAACTTGTTTCACGAAAAGCACCGCAGGTCGCGGGTTCGATTCCCGGCTGTGGCGGCTGCATTTCCGATGGAGGCGGAAATGTTGTAGGCCCGTGTACTCAGATTTGGGTGCACGTTAAAGAACCCCAGGTGGTCAAAATTTCCGGAGCCCTCCACTACGGCGTCTCTCATAATCAAATGGTGGTTTTGGGACGTTAAACCCCACAAATCAATCAATCAATCACGAAAAGCACAGCTAATGTAAAATTGTACAGCAGGAATTCTAGTTAGGACTTGGTATCGTCAGAAGTTCTTCAGCAGGCAATGTGGCCCTTCAAAAGAAAACGAAACAAGTAATATGCAGAAAGAGAGTGAGAGAAAAAGAGACACCAACCGCTGGTGTCGTTGTGCTGGCGGATGCAAATAAAAGCGTACACTGTGCAGAATAATGCGCCCTCACCGGCGTTGACACCCGCGCTCTCTCTCTCACCCGAGGAGTAAATTTGGCCGCCGCCGCTATGGCGCGCCCATGGCAGTGCTGCGCTGGGCTGTTTTAGCGGTGCTCTTGTGCATGAGTAAGCAGTCCACTTAACGAGCCCACGCTTACACGCCTGCGGCTAGGGAGGCTGTAGTAACATGCGCGTGCCAACGAAGACGAGTGCTGGTTAGTTTAGGCATACGGTCTGTCCCTGCGAGGCGCGCGCCCCCATGCGATCTCCCTATATGGAGCACGAGCTTGAGCATCAAGGTCCCTTGCGTCCTGTGGCGCTTCAGCGCTTCATCGAAAATATCTGGCGTTGGCTGTACAAACACCGGCGTGATTTCAACAGTTATACCACTATCCCTGACAGCATCATCATCACCACCTCCACCAGTGATTGAGACTTGAAGAGAGAGAGAGAATAAAATTAAGGAAAAGCAGGGAGGTTAACCAGAAAATGGAGCATCCGGTTTGCTACCCTGCACTAGGGGAAGGGGAAATGGGGAAGAAAGATTGGAAAGAAAGCGAAGAGGGAAATAGACGCGCGCAAAAAAAAAAAAAAACCTTGAAAGGCCCCTGTTGTGGTATTACATAAGGTGTGAGCACGCATAAGAACTGACGACGACACAGCGACAAATGAAAATCGAAGCATGAGGTCTAAAGCAAAGACAGTTAAGTACACATGTGATGGCGTAACATCCAATTCCCTCGCATAAAGGTCGTTTAATATTGTAAGGTCGCATCCCTATGAGTTTTTTCTCTCTTTCCTGCTCCTTGAGAAAACGGTGTAGCACTTACTTAAATATATGGACACATATAGTTTGTACGCTCGCCTTACGTGCAAACCGCATCGAGTATATATACAGTTCGCCATATGCAGTTACACTATGAGATGTCGCCGCCGTAGGCGTGGCGGAACGCGTTTCGCGCGTCTCACGCTACTGAAAGGAAATCAAATCCAAGCACAGCAGACTGTTTTCGGCATGTTCCAATGCATAATGCACTCACAAGACAATGCAGACCAGGAAGATGTAAGGACTCGGCGCTCTCTATGAAGTTACATTTTTTTATGATTTGATTTATATGTGGCGTTTAACGTCCCAAAACCACCATCATATTATGAGAGACGCCGTAGTTGAGGACTCAGGAAATTTCGACCAGCTGGGGTTCTTTATTGTGCACCCAAATTTGAGCACACGGGTCTACAGCATTTTTGCCTCCATCGAAAATGCAGCCGCCGCAGCGGCTGCATTTTGATCCCGTGACCTGCGGGTCAGCGGCCGAGTACCTAAGCCACTAGGCCACCGCGGATGGGCGCTTACGTTTTATTTATTTATTTATATTGTAGCAGGTGCGATTTATTTGCGTGTACGCAGAAAAAAAATCGAGAAAATGAAAAAAATAACAAAAAAGCAATGGCTCAAACGATGTTGAGTATATTAAGAAAACCAAGGTGTTTGATGCCACCCAAGTGCATATAGCATCCCCATCACCGGGCCAAAGGAATAAAACTTCTCATTTATCGGACAAAGAACGCACTCAAGCAACTGAGTTTCACGCCATCATCACTGATTTTGTTTTATTTTTTACCTAACTCAATCGCAACACTGTAGAAAAAAAAAACGAAACGTCTTGAGCGTTCTATGTTCCTCAGTCGTGTACCAACTAACCAGCATGCCAACTTTGATTGTAAGAAGCGTATGTCTCCGCCCTTTCGGTATTCTATATCGATAACGTACAATTCTGACACATCCAGTACTCGGACACATTAGAAGCAGCAAACGCGAGGGAATAGTCTTTTCCTCAAAGGTCGGGAACAGTCAATTTCATCGGTGCTCAAGGGACAGCCGAGCTGTTCTCCTTGAGAACTTAGAAAGCAAGGCGCAAGTGCTCAAGTGAGAAAAGAGAGAGAGAGACGCAGTAAGAGCAAAAAAAGCAAAAAGAAAAGTTGAGTCAGACCCTTCTTGGTCGTCATCGCGTGCTGCCCTTTCGCGCGCTTATGTGGCGCCTCCTCTCCCTGTCGCCCCTTATTCCTCGCGAGGTTCGAGTCAACTCCGCTGCGGCGGCTGTTTTTAGAAGCCAGGTTTAGCCGACTCCCAATCGGCACATCGGTGTCCGAGACATCGGCTACACAGTTCTCACAGCTCAAGCGCGCATCGTGCATGGGACACACTCAAAAGAATGTATTTGCTGGAGGTGGGTTCCTTCACTGCCTCGTGCCGAGACCGCTGGCTGCTGTGCGTAACTACGAATTGGTACTAGTGTGTGACGTAAGCATGCGGAGTGATATGACTCTTCATGTGAGCACCACATCTCTCTCTCTCACTCTTCGTATTAACATACACCTGTCAATTACGTGCGTTTTATTATGAACCAACCGTATCGTTAACTTAGCGCCCTGAACCTCCTTCGCTACTTGATGCACGCAGGGAGTCTTCTACAAAGAAAATTCTACGCTGTCCTGACTTCTCTTTTCATTCATTCATGGCCCGAGCCGATTAGAGTTATGTGCAATGTACGCTATAGGTGGAATCTTATCCTTCGGCATGCGTGAGAGTGTTCTAAGCGTTATTCTTTAGCAAATAACACGCCAGCACAATTAGCCCATGTATGCGTACAGCTTTGGAAAGAGAACAGGAAAGAAATTCAGTATTACATCGTCTTGTTCCAATGGTATTTGGCCATGAACTTCATGCGTTCACATTCGAGCACTTGTTCATATCTACCGTCATATTCCCCTTTATCGAGTATAGCTGGCGTTGTTGCCTGGGCACCTGCAGCTGTGGAAAATGTACAAGAATGTGGCTTCTAACATGCCACGTTCTGCTGCGGCAGAGATGAATAACCCTTTTCAGAGGACAGCTGTTTTTGAAGCAGAATGATACCTAAAACCATAAATTGTACTTTTTGGTGCGTCTCTTTGGCCGATCGAATTGTACCGTCACCCAACAACTTCGTAAACGCTCTTATTTTACAGCGAAGGTATGTTGCTCTGGAATATGAAAATGGTAATACAATCTATGCGCATTTGTATCTTGCTCTACTCTTTAAATAATGGATTCATTGTAAAAGCCATGTAGTGCAGATCATCTAGAAATACGAGTTCTGATTGTTACTTTGTGTATTTTTTCAGGATCTGGAAGATGGATTTAGAATTCTACGCTGACTTCAGCGCCGTGGGTCACTACTCAGCCCAGACTTGCCTCAAAAACATGTCGGCGAGAAAGAACAAGGTGCCTAAAGTGAGTACTCGAACGGTTTGGTATATCGGACTGGGTCATAAATCAAGTACCTTACTTGATTTGCACATAATACTATAGTATTTCCACCAAGAATACATAAACTAAAGCTCTAGCTGAATATCGTATCTTCAATCAGGCGCAGATAGAGGGCAGTACAGTAGTGCTTTAGAGCAGTACAGTATTGCTTTGCAAACCTGCGCATGCCAATTGATCCTTGTAGCTGCGTCGCCTGCCGAGATGCGAGCGTGTATGGATCTTCGTCTTCGCGAGCAACTGCTTCACGCTACGAATTTGTTGTGTCCATTAGCACGCTGCGGTGCTAATGGACACAACGTAATAAAGCAAGCAGGGAGTGAATGTAAAGGTTAAGGGGAAACTTATCAGCAGTATTAAATTATTTAATTAAGTGTTGAAGATGTCAGTATATGCTACTCGCCAAACACGCACGACAAGACACACTCCGGCGGAGCGACTGTGATCGCTTCGCCGGAGTGTCTTTAGCAGTTAACTCACACCACCTTACACACCACACCACGTTACACACCACACCACGTTAAATCACCTGCGTTGAAAAACTGTTGACGGCGACCGAGGTTCTGGATCATGACAACGCATTGCTCAAACACTCAGACGTGATAACTGCAGCTGAATCTTATCCTAGTCAGTGACTGTAGTTGATTGCAGTCAGCTCTGGACAAAGTGACACCATGCGTGTTCTCTCTGATTCATGCCTTTGTTTTCGTTTTCAATTGCCAATCTATTGGTAGCATATTGGTACATATATTGGTACATATATATTGGTACATATATATTGGTACATATATTGGTACATATATTGGTACGTATATTGGTAGCAAACCAAACGTGTGTCTGGTCGACCTCCCCGTTTTTCTTCTCGCTTGCGATTTTTCCACGTAGCTTGGACATTCCGCTTCATTGTGAAGCCACTCTTTCTTTACCTTTGGATACCGCGGTTATTCCAGTGGAATCTGCCATAAATACCCACACGCACCAGAGCAGTGGTTTTCTGGGCCGCACAAGGTATGTGTACAAGGCCCTCAATACGCCTAGTACAAGTTCGTAAGCGCTACAAGGCCTTTTACAAGGTTTCCTGCGCAAACTACGCGGTTGTCCACAGTGGACAGAGCACTCCGCCAACTATTGATTACCACACAATCGAAACGTCGCGAAGCGTTATTCTGCCGACACGCCCATCACTTTCTTCACGGCTTGTAATTAGACATCCTTCTAAATCCACACACTACACCAAGGTGGCCGCGCTGGACGATTATACGGGAACAGCGGTGTGCTTTGAGCTTCGCTTCAGACTAACGCAAGGTCACAGAAACACGCCGCACACGTGAGTCAGAGGCCCCCAATAACCGTCTTTTGCGCTATGCAACACTCGTGCAAGAGCAAGTCCGAACCGCTAAGATTGCGCGCCATCACAAATTAGCCGCGGGCTATAGACCGTAACGGACACACTTACTCCGCAAGCTTTCTTGGCATCATCGTCTTGCGAGGCGAGTTCGTATATAACCGAGCCTGGGCAGAGGTGTTGGATTCGCTCCAGTGGCTAATGAGACGTAATCTCTACTTATTTTTAGGCTCGGCCTATCGGCGCGTGGTTTTCGTAGCCTTCGCGCGTCTCTCGTATACGTAGTGTCGATCACACGCCCCTATAGTGTGGCATCCTAACTGTCTGTGTGTGCGTTCGTGCGTGTTCTGCGTTCGTGTCCGCCTCTTAATTGTTAGCGCATCGTTCGCGCTTGGTTGTGCGTTGCGGGCACGCATAGTATACGCGGAGGAATAGACGAGGTCAAAGACCGAAGGCCACGGAAAGTCTCGATCGCTTTCGAACGAGCGGAGAGACCGTTTTTTTTTCTCGACTATGTGGCCGTTCATTTTTGATATGTCTGTATTTTTTCTTCCGCCATGCGGCCTCCGTTATATGCGCAAACATGCACAGGCGTGCGGAAAAGTGCTAGGCCGCCTTCGACGCGTACAGCTCGTGTTCTCCGCATTCGAGGTCGCAAGCATCAGCGACTATACATGCCTACCGCTTGATTAACGGCGGAGGAGGCGAGCTGCAGCATTTTCGAGCCTTGAAAAGAAAGCGGTGGACGTGTTCGCCGTCGTTAAGGATGGTAATACCGCCGCTCGTAATCATCATCGCGGAGGCCTTTTGTTTTCCTTCTCGCAGCCTTTCCCTTAGAGTAGAAAATTAAAAAAAAAAGCAAGGTGACAGGCTTCAGCCCGAGTGCGTCTCAAAAAAGAACCGCGCACTGTGCTCTCATGTCTTAGACTGCAGAAGCTCCACTGCTCTGCTACAGGAAAATGGCAATGAGACCCTACAAGAACGCCAGGGACCACCCGTACCACAATCTAACTTTGAAGGGAAAAATGCGAACTCTAAACCGCAGTGGAATCCTAATCAAAACAGCCTGACTCTCCTCAGTCGCCGTGCAGCGACTCCCTCTCAATCAAAAAATTATAAATGCAGCTCAATATTCGTCGTTGGCGCACGTTCGCGATATTCGCTATGAGAGCGAATGCACCGCTATGTTTTTATTGTTGTATCCACCACACTGTCTGCGTTGGAAGATCTATGAAAAGCTGTTATTTTGTGTGTAGGCATGCCATATATCTGTCGACTCAACGAAAGAGCCAGCATCTAAACAGAACCACGCGTCGTCCAAGCAAGTGAAATTTCACGTGCCTACCGTGTTGGTGCTGGACAGAGTGCTTTCCAGCGATGTAGGCAGTAAAGAACAAACCTAAATATGTTTTTTTGCTAATTATGCGCTCATTTTTTCGTGCGAGAAGCGTGTTAATGAGATTCCCTACAGGAAGATTACTGAAACATGTTGAACACCCTTCTAACTGGTAGCAAAAATTATCACAACCACTGCGTTCACTTTCAATCGTTTTTCGCCTCGACAAAAATACAGCGATATCGTGGCTTCGTCAGCAAAACCCGCTCTTGAAGCCAATATTAGTAGGATACGCAGTTGGCAAGGGCAGATAGACATTCGTGTGAGTACCTGCAGGAACCTCACCGTGTTGCCTACACTTTCGCTAAGCACGTGTCGGTATTTTCTTATTCGGTGTTTTCGGCGCTTGGCGCAAGCGCCATGTTGAGGTTCGCACAGCAATCAGTGCCAGAATTAGAGGCGTTCCTCGATCGCCCAAGGACTCGTTCCGACTGTTTCGCGAAGGCAATAGAGTCGGCAGAGAGAGCCAAGCATGGCATCAAACGCACGCTCTTCCGCAACCGTTATGCCAGAGCAACCGGGTCATACACGTATTCCGTTGTTCGGTGCAGCGCGAGGCCAAGGTCGGTTGCGCCATGGTCACGCGAAGGAAACGAATACAGGTGCATGCTTGAAGGCGCTGCATGACTCCTTCGTCTTCACCTGAAATTTTAAAAGTTTTGTTCACTTAGAGCCGCCTGGTTGCGTTTGCTTTCATTCACAAACCAACAATTTGCCTGAACCATTCGGTCTTGAAGGAAACTCTTCGGTAACGTCAGTGAGGCGCGATCGCTTGTATATAACATTAATGAGGTGCCGTTGTGTTCGTTCGCTTCGTAACGTCTGCGCTGTAGTGCACCGTATTTGTGAAGAGGGAAAGTGCAGGCAACATCTGGGCGTCTCTCGGTCTGCATGTGTCCACCTTGGCGCGCTTCCCGCGTTCGCTTTTCTGTTTGTACGCGTCAACGATTCCGCGAGCGACTAGCGGTTCATGTAGCCTTGAAGCGAAATGCGGGCCTGCCTGTGGCTTTCCACGGAGTGCTTAGTACGCAACGAAGGGTCTGGTTTCGCGGGCGGGTGTGACGTTGCCTCACGGCCACACGCTCCAGGTAGAAGCCTCTCCTGGGCACGTTATGGAAGCACTTTTCATAGCAAGCACTCGAAGCGACTTGAGAGTGAGAACATGGGTTTGTTTTGTTAGGTTTTATCGAGAAGAACCGAAGAATGTATACGGCAAATAACTGAATAAGGATGTCGGCCTAAATCAGGAGATGTTAGGAAGGACTATGTGAAATAGACAGGATATCATCCGTCGAGATCTCCCTTTTAATAAACGCGAAATAACGGATTAACTACTACCTAAAGTTAAATATTCGCGAATGTCCTGTTCTTGCGTCTGAATGTGTGAATTATGAACAACTTTCTTTTATTTAAGATAATTTTCTAAACGACTTTCGTACAGAGGAGTGGTATGTAGCATGTGCGTTAACTATATGACAAAGATAGATAGAGAGAGAGAGAGAAAGGCAGCCTTTTTTTATTTTTAGACGGTGGCACTGCTGAAATCATCGGATTAATGGGATGACGAAATCGGTTGAGGTGATAACCAGTGCTACAGTATAACCTTACATCGACCACACGACCCTAACTCCGTTGCCTGAGTGACCGTGCATTACTCGAGCTGTTATTACTTCAATTACGCCCACCCTGAAGCTTCGCGATGCACAGCTGCTCGTGTGGCATGGGCGGACTAATTTGAGCCATTAGAACAGCCCTCATACACACGGGAACGCTTTGCAGGCCTCGCCAGGGGTAGTAAACAAGGCCGTTTTTAAAGCCGTCGCGATGGTCGATATACGATGTTCATCAATCGTGCTTTAACTGTCGTCACTTCCGCCGATTGTTCCAAATCGCACTCGCATTCGGAAAATAAATGCCTCTAATCGACCTGAACGCCGACGCCATGATTGAAGCCGCCTTCAAGCTCAAATCAAGAGAGACTGAACAAAGAAGCGATTTTTCTCGTATTAGTGAATCAGAGCTCCACACTATCGAAAACACCACTCTGAGCGCGAGTAGATGCTCAGTAACTGAGAGAACGCCCAGAAAGAAAACACGCATCGACAGATCTTAGGCTTCGCATGTTAATAATGTATTTAACCATGGCCTCCGAGATGACAGTCGCGTGGCAGGTCACGCGCCCGCCATCTCGGAGGCCAAGATTTAACTATTTCATCGCACTTGCTA